CCTCTGCAGGCCATGTGTGGCAAAGACTTCAGCAGGCTCATATCTGAGTGGGAGACATGCTCCAGGTCCTGCAGTATTTGGAAACCCCTGCTTGATTTTGCTTGAGCTCTTTTTGCTTCCAGGCTGGCTGCCTGGAGACTTTCATCCCTGAGAGAACTGTGTTTTTTCTCTCACGCTAATAAGTACTGTAATGTTAGAAACTCTTTAAGTTACAAGATCAGCAGCACCACGTGAATCCTAATTTCTCACTGTGCCATGCTGTGGGCATATCCTTGTACAGTTCTAAACATTGGTGCTGTATGGAAGCACTTGTAGCTTCATGGTTGGAAGAACAGTTTGAAAATGTGGAGTGTGTTCCTGAAGGATATCCAGGTGTGTGAAAGTATTCTGCAAATACCTCAGCCTTGTTTTGAAGTGAATATCTGAAGCCCCTCTGTAGCCCATAAAGCCCCGGAGTTTCGGGGTGGGTGCTGCAAGGTATCCAACAGCCCTGCTTTAGCTGCAGGAGACAAAGGATCCCAGCCCCTTTCTGCCTTTGTGTTTCTGTCTTTCAGCACTCTGAGCACAAACAGACAGGTGCTTAACTAAGGCTAAATTGGGAGTAACGTGGATATGGAGACAAATTAATGACTGCTAATTAGAAAGCACTACTCTGATATCTTTTTTATTTTTAATCTGCAATTACAGATGTAGCAAAACTCCCAAGACTTTGTCTCAATGCATATGTCCCAACAGAGGGACAGCCACTTCTGCTATGCCATATGGCATATATTGACAGATAAGCTGCTGCCTTTCACAATGCACTGTTTGCTGAAGATAATTTATAGCGTGCTTCACTTAAAACTGACAGCCTAGTTCCAATGAGCATAGAGAACAATCAGATGTTGTAAAAATCTGTGATTCTTTCTCTCAGGTAAAGTATTCAATCTTCAGTTGCTCATGGCTGAAAGCAGTGAAACAGAAACAGAGGTGAACAGCCTGTGCCTTTTGGCAAGTCTTCAGAAGGAACAGTGCCCTGTCCCTTCCCTTCCCTTCCCTTCCCTTCCCTTCCCTTCCCTTCCCTTCCCTTTTTTCTATTTCTAATAGAGCACATATGCTCACACACCCTTAAAACATTTCTGGGAGATAATGCAGAGCAGCAGTATCAAAATACACTGTAACTGAAGTACAGACTCACCCACCCACAGCTCACTTGGATGCAGATGAAATCCAGATGCGCAAACTCTCAAGTTCTCTGCAAGGGAAATGCTAAATGCTATGTGAGAATAGTTGTATCTTGACCTTTAATTCCATGGACACTGTCAGATTGCTTTTGCAGGGACTGCAGTAAGTAGTTGTTGGCTTTCGTTATTCAGATCTGATTCTTTCACATTCTGGAAAATTTAAGCAGGCCGAAGTTTCCTAAATGCATCTGCTGACAAAGGATGTTTGCTCTATCCCAGAATTGCCTTCTGCTGCTGGAAGCATTTCAGCCCTTGCAGCAGTCCCAGGACAGAGATGTGAATGTGACAAGCTCCTAAGAAAGTGGAGCAGCCCTGCTGCTTTTCTCTAGCTGTAGCTTTATTTTTAGCTTGTATCCTGTTTTAGTTTAGCTCATGTCAGAGAGATAGCAGGAAGAACTTCAGTTCCCTTTTGTGCACTGTCTCACTTTTCTTTCTTCCTTTAGTTTTTGTTGTAGTTGTTGTGGCCTTATTACACAGATTTTCTTTTTTACAGCTGTGACAACTTCATGAAATTGCAGTGAATGCTCCAGACTTCTACCCACAGCAACCATGTTTTTTTGTGGAGCTGCTTTCTGCAGGTGACCTCCATCTGTGTTTTCTCTCCCACTTTTCTCTGCCCATCCCCAGGCTTGGTCTCCCTCAGCCTCTGTGACTCCCCATTCTCTGAACCATATCCTAATTTTCTTTAGAGGAGAAATGTACAGCATCATCTCCAATGGGCCCGATGTAATTCCTGATGGGATACAGAACTGCTGGTTCAGCAGTTCCTAGTGCTGTACCTGGAACGTGCTGGCAAGGAATGCTTAGTTCTCATCACGTCATGTCTTTGAAATGAAGCATGTGCTTCATGCTTTCTGTTGATCATGATGCTGACTTTGAGTCTCTGATATTCCAAAAAACCATTGGTGTGTGTAGCTTTGTAATAGGCACATTGCTACACCTGGCTGAGAACTACTGCTCTCTGCAGGCCTGCGGCATGCGGCAGCCCTGAGGACAGGATGCGAAATGCTCCAGCTCACAGCTTCTGCATGACTGCCATCCCTGCCAGCCACCATGCTGCAGCCCTCCGGGTCCCATCTGCTGAGAGACACTAATGAAGTCATCTTAATCAGGATGCAGGTTTGCAGCACGCGGCTGCAGCATTGGAAACAGGCTTGGAGATCCCTGCCCTGCTCCCAGGCGGGCTTGGTGCTTTGTGCTGGAGGAACATGGAGTGTTGCTGTGCTGAGCATTCTCCACAAATACCACAACTTATTCTGTAAGGTAGCTGATGTGATAGAGGTTTCCCTCAGCAGTGCCAGCCATGGTTCTGGAGTTTGTCCATAAGGAGCAGTTAGCAGAGAGCTACACTTTCGAGAAGACTTTATTCCTGTGTCTTCTGCTTCAGATCCAGCCTGCATTTCTGTTCATAAATTGGGTCTGCAAGGCATCAGGTTTATTTACTTCCCCTTTATAGAGGCAACAAGTACAGCAGTGAATGTGGTGAGCCCTCAGCAATCATGTCGAACCCCCACATGGGATGTCTGCTGGAGGAGTGTGAGGGAAAGGTGCCTTCAAGTTGGTCTGAGGAGCTGCAGTCCTGTGCTGATGGGAATGAGGCACCTGGACTGTAGTTCCCACTAAGGAATTAACACAGGCCTGCTTATGGGAAGCACGCTCCTCATGAATGCTGCTGCTTTGTGAGTTGTGCTGGCGGTGCAAAGGGCATTTGCCTATAGCATATTTGGGGAAGAGCTACAGCATTGTCCACACCAGAACATCCTGGCTGGAACAGAAAATCCCAGAGTTGAGGGAACAGTAAATGGTATCTGCTGGCATTCCAGCATCAGTTGTGGTGTGTTCACAGTAATCCAGCATCCACTTGGTGGCCTCTCCCAGCTCCGGTGCTCTTTCTGACTCCCTTCCCTTCCCCAGCAGCCAGCTGCCATGTCACTGCCCGGATGGCTGGACCCAAATGTGCTGCTCTCTGTAAACAGGCTAAAAATATCTCCTGCTGTTCCTGTGAGGGCCCTCAGGCTGGGAAGGAGGCTGGGATCAGGCAGCCTCAGGGGATGGCTCTGAGAGATGGGAGGTGGGAAGCATCCAGAGACAGTGCTGTGTGAGGAACCCGGGGTTTGTCACAGGAGGGCTGGAGCAGCTGGTGGGAAGGAATTGTTCCTCCTGAGGATCAGGAGGTGATGTGTGGAGGACAGTCTGGTGTCCCCCAAAGCCCAGGACAGTGCTCTGCTCAGGCCAAGCAGAACAGGAGAGAGATTTCTCCAGCTGCATTTTTCATCTGAAGGCAATAATTTGGTCCTCCTGCTCTTCTGTTTGCACTGCTGGACAGACTAGTGGAAGGCAATTATGAAGATAAATGTTTTCCACCTCCTTGCAGTGCATTTATGATTTAAAGAAAGGCTCAGCAGAGGTTACCACAGGCGGTTACAACAGTTTCTGATTGCTGGGCTGATTTCTGGACTGCACTGTTGCTCTGCTCAGACACTGCTGAATTTATTCAGCCCTACAAGATGACAAGAAAAAAAGGGTCATTTTATAACGATGTAGAAAACTATCAGCAAAGCTCCATTCAGGAGATATTTTTGTCAGTCCTACATTTACTTCCTTTGAAGCACCTTAACCAGCTGTGCTCAAGCTGGCATGGCTGGGAAGGACCGAGGACCACATCTGTGTCACAGGGCTGTGGCCAGCATCCTGCAACTCTGCCTGCTCTGGGACGTGCCACTGCCCTGTCAGATGGAGCCCTCTGAAGGTTTGTTCCCCTGATTTCTTCCTTCAGGAAGCCTGTGTCAGAAGGAATTAAAAGCTTGTATTTAAGTAAGAAGAAGGAGGGAATACCTCTGGAAAATATTTTTCCAGCTCTCTCCAAGGTGTGAGGCAGAGCCCTGGTAATTGCCCCAGCATGGCCCCAGCACCCCACATCAAATGCATCTGTAGTGCTTTTGGAGGACAGCTAGCAGGACTCCTCAGTGGGAGGAAAGCCAGGTGTAAATTAAGGCACAGCACAACAATTCTGGACCTGGAGAATGGCCCACAGTCTCTACTTCTTGCAGGCTGCCAATCAGCTGCCTGTCCTGGAGCAGCAGATTGGGCTGGGGGAAGGAAGAGATGGGAGGGAGCTTGCTGGTGAGACAGAATGCAGGCATCTGATCCCCCAAGCATCAGTTGATGAAAGCTTGGTTTTATTTCTTTTAAAAAGGTAATGTTACTACAGCAGCTCAGTGTTAGTGTTAGGAGCCAAATCAGTGCTAATGAGGTCCTGCAGGTGTACCCTGATAAGGGCTGATGCAGGGCAGCTGGCCATGGTTTGCTGGGCTGCTCCAGGTGCCTGGAAGATAAGATGGAAATAGGAGAGCTAGAAGCTTAAGCAGCCTGTGGGAGAGCAGCAAGTTGGGAAATTGGCTTTGTTTTTTCTCTCCTAGTTTGAAAAATGGCTATCGTTCTTTGGTACCACATTTCTTTAAATTGATTTTTAATGCAAATTATGCACAGTTAAGGTTTAACACAGAAAATCTTGAAGGAAAGGGGAATAAGTCCCAAACTGTGGGTAAATACACATGGAGTTAATAATTCAGAGCACTGATGTGCTGCTGGCACCCCCGGTCTGTCACAGCTGAGAGCCCAAGGAGAACTGCAGGTGGTTGGACAGGCTGCTCCTCGCACCTGTGCTTTGGTCCAGTGTGGGGCAGCACCCAAGCAGGTGCATCTGATTGCTTGGTTTTTATTGGAAGGTAAATTCAAACCATGATCAGCTGCCTGTGCTCCATCCAGAATGAATCTGTAATCCTTAGTGTGTAAAGCAGTAGAAGCATTACGTTTAGTGTATTTGTTCCCACTGCCTGTGGTAAGCACACAGCCGAGTATCAGGGTGATGCTGTGTGCTGATCTCATTCAGCTGGGCCACTCAGTTAAACGGGGATTTCTCAGTTTTGCAACTCCAGTGTTTCAAGTACTTCTACACGTCATGCCTTTCTGTCCTGCAGCTGATCTAAACGATACATTTCTGTGACTGCACAGTCCCCATTGCTACCATGGCAGCAGCCAAAGGGGCTGCAAGCGACCGCCGGGGAAAGGAGCCGCACGGCGAAGCCTGCGGGATGCACACAGCTGCAGGGCCGTGACCCAGCTGCGCTCTCCCGGTTCCCAGCCGGGATTCTCCACCCCGCTGGGTGGGATCTCCCCGTTCCCCTTAAAGGGCAGCGGGCGGCAGGGCTCAGCTGTCCCCGCGAGTCGTTCGGAGGGACAGATATTGCTGTGCTTGGCGTGACGTGGCTCTCGTCGTTCTTTCTATGGCAGGTAGGAGCAGCCTTTACTTTTTTCCGTACTTATTTTGTTTTTTTTCCAGTGTTGTTTCAAACAGTAGGGTGTGTTTGGGGGCGGCTTGGTTTGCGCCGGTGTACGTTTAGATAGAAAGAGAAAAACTTTCCAGTGCTAGCAGTGTGGTGCCGGTGGAGGAAGCAACCCACGAAACCAATAACCACAAAAAACCTGTTAGTAGAAAGTGCAAAGCGAACATCCGAGAGTCAGCGACCGCCTGGCGCGGGGTGGCCGTGCTGGGCACGCGTCGCCTCCGGGGGGCAGCAGCCGCCCGCCGGCGGGATGCGGGGATGCGGAGCGCCCCGGCTGGGTTTCGAGAGCCGTTGGCCGGAGCCGCTATGGGGGATGAAAGTGTATTCCGTGCCTCTCCGTAGAATAAATCGAGCTGTGTTTGCAGCCTGCTGCGTGTTGAGGTCCTCCAGCCAAGTTTGGAGTCCGTTTGCTTCTCGTCGCCTCGCGTCACTCGGGAGAGGGGAGGTGCTGGGGCCGGGCGGGGCGGCTCGCGGTTGCTTTAGGGCATGAGTCGCTTTAGGGGGATATCGCTAGTCTTTGGGAATGAGTGCAGTGATGGTGGCAGCTACAGACCGTGAGAATGGCCGCGGTGCTAGGTGTGTGCTGGGAAGGGTCAGCGCAGGAATGCTTTGTATTGGAGTGCAGCCCCAGCACAGGAGGGCTGCTTGCTTCGTGGGGAAGGAATGCAGCCAGACTCTTAAACGTGACCTTCTCCGTGTTACGCGTGGTGTTTGGGAGCTGTTCCTCTCAGTGAGCAGCCCGCAGCCCGGCCGTGCCCAATGGGGCCTTTCCTTTTGTTAGGCAAAGCCTATTGATTTAATTTCTGCATCGTTGTTCAAGCTAACACCGAATATGTCACTGGTGGTGGTGCATGAAATTGAACAGCCTCCAGAAGGGCTGAAACATGAGGCTGACAGGGTGATGCAGGCCAGGTGCTGCTGTAGGCAGTGATGGCAGTGAGCTGCAGATGCTACATGCAGCAAATGGCAGAGCCTCAGCGCGCCTCACTGCTGTGGCTCGGGGTGTGCTGCTCTCTTCTGAGCTGAATGGCTGGTCGGTTTGACAGCAGAGGAGAGCTAACTTTGCATGGTGTTTTGTTGAATGTTCCAGTGGTGGAACGTATGCTTGGTTGGGTCTGGCCTGGCTTGTGATGGGCTGTGAAGTCTTCTCCTAAACTTCATGAAGTTATTAAAAGTTGGTGTATGGATGGAAGACTATATAGCATGTAGAGTATCCAGTGAGATTTGTTTGCTTAATGAATAAGTGAATTACAGTGTGAAAGTACAAGGGCTGCTCCCTGCCTCACACCAACTCTGCTTCCTCTCCCCCATGACCTACATGCAAGTCTCTTCCCATGCTGTTTCTGCGTGTGCATTGCTTCATGATGAAGGTGCTCTCATGGAGTGTAAAGGTTTTTCAAAAGGATCCATAACTTAAAAACATTCCTAAAAATCCTGTGGATTTCAAAATTCAGAATGAAAACTTGTTTTGAACCTCAATGCCTTCAATGTGTAGCTCCTGCTGTCGTTGTCCCACTGGTGTTGCGGGCTCAGTGTCCCTTATCAGCACAGGGTTCTGTGTGTTCAGGGCTTTAGCTGAACACACTACTAATTACTGAAGCTAGAGAGCTGCTTGAAGCAGCTTTAAGGAGAAACTTCAGGGATCTGCCTTGAGCTGCTTCCCAACTGGTCAGACATTAAATGAAGAACTTGGATAAATCTAAATGACAGCTTGTGACCGATGTGCCAGACACTGTGCTGCAATGCATGGAGGGCATCACTTCCCCTGAAGCAGACCAGCAGACGGGGGACAGCTGCAAACTACTCACCTCTATTAATTTTCACACCATGAGTCTTTCATGGTCAGTAATATGTTACAATTTTGCTTTGTCTGGGATTGCCTGGTTTTGGCTCTGGGGAATGGTGTAGCCTGTCTGGGTCTTGGAGAAGCATGATTTATGTTTGGTAAGGCTGGGAAGGTGATGCTCAGGATGCATGCAGAGAGGAGGCCAAGTGAGCTGCTTTGAACACCAGGGAAAACAGCAAAATCTTCCCTGGGCTGTCCCACCCAAGTTTGCTAAGCCCTAGCAGAGGAGATAGAGGTTGATGCCTCTCAAGGACTGACGTGGGCCATGTTCTCCTTCCCTGGAAGAAAATTGATTGTCCAGAGCAATACAGAATGCAGCACCCTTGCATGTGTTGGAGCAGCCCTGAGCCACCAGGGTCCAGAGCTGGTGGCTGGGGTTTGTGGCTGGGGCTCTGCTGCCAGTGGTGATGGCTGTGAAGGTCTCCTCCTGCATAGAGACTGAAGTGACTTGGTAGTGTGGCATTTTCCAGCAGGTTTGCTTATTTGGGATGGTTGTGGGACTTGGAAGAGGAAGTCTCTGGGTGGGGAAAAAAATCACGCAATTACTCTAAACCTAATTTTTTGTAGTTACCACCAATCTTAAATTCTGCAGTGTGACTAAACTGCTGCAAGGCCCTCACACTAGCACTTTGTGTATATATATAGCACATATGTGAAATGTAATTTCTAGGCACATTAGGGCTTCTTAAGGAAAGTGCAGATAACCAGCCTGGTGCTCTGCAGGGAAAGCATGTGAGCATAGAAAACTATAGGTCCTTTCCTTTTGCTCATGTACTTTTCACTCTTGTTCTGTGTCAGCATTTGATGTACTCCAGCAGAAGAGCTGAATCCAGAGCATAGCAAGCAGAATTTAGCAAGCAGATCCCTCCTGGCACCTCACATGCTCACGCAGCTCCCTCTGACTTGGCTGGCCAAAACCCCAAAAGGGTTTTGTGCCATGTAAAATTGTACGGGAGAGGAGCTGCCTAATATCTACCAGAAATAAGTATTTGGCCCCACTGTCAGACCACGTGAGTCCGTGGGCATTCTTCCATAGATTGAGGTGGCTGTGGGGTGGCTCCTCCCTGACCTGGTACCTGGACCAGCACCATCCCAGAGAAGCAGACCTGCTGGATGATGCCACCCTCCCAAGCATGCAAGCAGTGCCAATGTCAATTGCAAGGTGAGGGATCCACCCCTCAGCGTGTCCTGGAGTCACTGTGGGAGTTGGCACTCGAGTTATGTTCTGGTGCCAGGAGAAGCGAGTACATGATGTTCAGGGAGAAGAGGTCAGCTCTCTTCCTGTTTAGATGTTTTCCAAAAATGCTTGAGCATCTGAGTGGAAAAACGACTGAGGGAACCATTCAAATTAGGAAACAGGAAATACTTCAAAACTGTAGATGCAGTTTTGGCAGCTGAAATGAGAAGTGAGATGTTAGGTAGGGCTGGTGAGTGCCCTGCTGGGCCAGTCTGGTTCTCAGGTTCACAGGTCTGGTTCTCATGCTGCACACAGACACAGCTTGCCCAGTAGCTGCTGTCAGCCCTGTGCGAGGTCCGAGCCAAGGCACTGGGTGTCTTGTGTCAAAGCAGTGATGTTCAGTGCGAGGTTCTTTCTGAGTTCAGAACTTCAGTATTTCCATTAGTGGACAGTGAAAATGGTGGCACTAAAACCAGAAGTTCTACACAGTATAAGTTAGTAGCAGATTTTCCAGTGCTAGGCTACCAGTGTGATGAAATAAGGTGTTCATGCCAAATGTCAGCTCTGCTCTTGACTCTTCTTCCCTTTCAGCAAATCACTGGGTCTCCTTATACTTTTTTCTAGCCATACTTTAAGTTGATGTAATGCTACTTTTAAGCCTCTTCAATTACTCCTGCATCTGATTGTATGTAATGTGCCCTGAGGGCAGTGCTTCGGGTTTGCCCATTGATTTGCTGTGTGATCATGAGTGCAGTTAACCCTCACTGTTCAAAGGAATTGTGCTCAGTTATGCTCATGTTCGTGCTATCCAGATTCCTGCTTTATACTCAACAGCTCAGACTTTCCAGGCAGTTTTTTATTGTTAAATTTGAGAACAGAATCTAACATGGAAGAGATTTGGGTGCCTGAAAGTTCCATTAAATTCACCTCAAGCAAGTTTCAGTAGAACTTACAGAGTGAAGCAAACTTCTGAAAATGTCACCCTAGTTTCACTTCCAGGGCCTGATGTTACATGGACACCTGAATTTCGAGCCAAATGCCTAATACTGCTCCAACCTGACTGGTGCTACACATTAAGTATGCACAAAATTAATGTATGCTAATGCTAGAGGGGGAAAATGCTTGAAAGTGAAAACTATTGTGCATCAGAATGCATTCTTCAAGACTTGCTGTTTTATCTCTACTCTGAACTTAATGACAGCTTCCTCTGAGCTGTGTGGAGGGCTGCATTGTGCTGCTTTCCCACAGTTCCCTCCATGTGGGAAAGCTGGGGCATTCAGTCAAGCAGTGGTACCAGCTCAAGGACAGGTCTTCTGAGGGATGAGCGGCCAAAGAAGAGGTGTGGATGGAGCCTGTTATGCCGCTAGGATCGGCCCCTGGTTTTGATAACATTCTTAGTTTCCTCCTGTGTATAATGAACAGCTCTGTTCTTCCTTAACTTTGTCGGAAGGTTTCTGTGAAATAACATGGGCAAAAAGTGAACCCATTTTCTGAATATTTTAAGAACTTGCTGCTTAGTTTTGTGTGTTATTTGATGGCAAATACAGCTTAGAAAAGCAGCCAGGATGGGTTTGGCCCCTAGAACCATTTTGGGAACATGCAAGTGCAAACAAACCTTTCCTAAAAACATTCTTTGCAACCCCACCCTTGAGGAATGGCCCTCTCTGGCAAGGTGCAAATTTGGTCAATGCTGAAAGTAGAGTGCTGAACTGTGGCTCTCCTCTGCACTCAGCAGTTACTTTTATATTGCTGAGAGCTCCCTGGAGTCGGGGGGTGGGCTGCTGGGGAACCACGTACTGCACGGGGTGGGCAGGGAGGCAGCATCTGGCCGTGCATCCTTGAGACCTGATGAAAAGCAATGGGTGGGGATTGAGAGGCCGGAGCATGGCCTCAGTGGCAGCAGCAGCAGGGTTTCAGCCCTGCC